ACAACTTCGTATTAATAAACGAAAGTCTCTGCTAATGTAAATGTGCCCGATTTGTAGATTTACTTATTTTGCAGACTTAGGGCACACAACCACAGCCCAGGCACAAACCACCACCACCGCAGCAACAACCGCCACCACCACCACCAACAGCAACAGCAACAGCAACATCAGCAACATCAGCAACATCAGCAACAACATTCAACAATCGCATCATCATCAGGAACCCCGTCAACCTAGTGCTTCTCTTGGCTCTACAGGGGACGCAATACAAACAAAAGCAGGGGCCACGCTTCTCCCCCCAACAACAAAACTGGCAACAAGAACTGGATTTCCACGCCGAAACTGTGGACTTTCCACAACAGCAAAATCAGCAACAGCAGCAGCAGCAGCTGCGCCAGCCAAACCAGCAACATCAACAAAACCAGCAACAACAGCGACAGGAGAAGCAACAGCAGCCGCAGCAACAACCGCAGCAACAACCAACAAAAACAACCAACAACAACACCCAACAACAACAACCGACCGCCCGACCGACCAACCAAGCAACCGCCACCAACGACGCAGCAGCAGTAGCAACTGCAACAGCAACAGCGACAGCGACAGCAACAGCGAAAGCAACAGCACCAGCGCCACCTGCGCCTGCAGCGCCAGTGCCCAGCGCCGCCAGCACCACCAGCACCACCAGCGCCAGCGCCAGCACCAGCCAGCGCCAGCGCCAGCGCCAGCAGCAACAACAAAGACGACAACAACGGCAACGACAACAGCAGCGCCACCAGCACCAGCGGCACCAGCACCACCAGCACCACCAGCACCACCCGCGCCCGCAGCGCCAGCGCCAGCGCCAGCTGCAACCACAACAACGACGACAACGACAACGACGACAACGACAAGAATAATAGCAGCAACAGCAACAGTTAGCTGCATCAGCAGAGTCAACAGATTGGCGCCAGCAGCAGTAGCAGCAGCAGCAGCCACGGTAGTGGTAGCGATAATGGCACCAACAACAACAGCGAAGATGATTCTTTTGTTTCGTCCTTTTGAAGTTCCTGCGTTTGACCTTTGAAGCTACAACAAGTCATAAGATAAAGCTTTCTTTTCCGGGCCTAAGTCCATGGATTCACAGCTAGGGTGGGTGCCTTCGGGACCTCGGCAAACCTTGGAGCACCTCTTAGTGCTCCTGCCGATACTGGCCTGCGGGGCTGTGACCGCCTTCACGAGATTTTCGGCAAGCATGGAGGTCGAGTCCATGTCGGAATAGGGTTTCGGAGCCCGGAAACTCGGTTGTTCTGTTTAGACCAAGGTCAAAAGGGTACCCTCGGAAAATGTGTCCCCAACAGCAACAGCAAGAAGACCTTCCAGCCGCCCGCGCTGCTTCAGGGAACTCCCAAACCGCTCTGGAGATTGCTGGCACCTCCTGGAACTCTGTTGAGCAACCGCTCCATGGAACTCCCAATCCTCCAGAAGAGCTGCTCCGGGTCACTCCGGAGCTTGTCCGGGCAGAGATTCACAGCTTTCAGCTGTTGGGGGAAACACACACTCGCACACCCAGTTATCAATCCGTTTTGGGTGCAGGTCTCTTGAAGAGCAAGACGCCAACTGACCTGGCTCAACTCAGCCCTGTGACCATGGAAACGCACTCATGGAAACGCACTAGAGGATTCCGTTGGCTGGTGGAGACATGAGGAACATCGGTGGTTCAAGGTCGCATTGTTGGCCAAATTTCTCTTTACACCTCCTAAGCCCAAAAGTGGGACACCCTTTCTGCGGCTCAATATTAGAGACCCCGTCAAGGTGCTTGGTTTCCTTTTTGTTGCCCTTACGTACCAACCAAAGCGCTTCCTATGTCCCTTTCTCCTCGAGTTTTTCAGGAGCCACAGGGTGGCGCAGGGAGCCTCTAGCACGGGGACTTCACTGTACAACGGGTTAACCTCTTGGAAGGCTTTTGTTTCCCTCTTCTTTGGAACTGCTGCTGCAATTTTATTTAAGAGCTGGTTTTTATGAGGAAGAAGTGGGAATCCGCGGCATTTACGTTGTTGGGGTTCCATATCCCGTTTGTGTTTTCAAAACTCCGGCTTGGTAGGGATTCTCGTCAACCGGGGAATCTATCCCGTTTGGAGCCTGTGTGTGTGTGCGTGTGTGCGTGTGTGCTTGTGTGCGTGTGTGCGTGTGTGCGTGTGTGCGTGTGTGCGTGTGTGCGTGTGTGCGTGTGTGTGCGTGTGTGTGTGTGTGTGTGTGTGTGTGTGTGTGTGTGTGTGTGTGTGTGTGTGTGTGTGTGTGTGTGTGTGTGTGTGTGTGTGTGTGTGTGTGTGTGTGTGTGTGTGTGTGTGTGTGTGTGTGTGTGTGTGTGTTGTTGTTCGGAGAAGCCCGTTGCGGCAGTTTTAAAACGAGGAACCAACGGGTTTTCCCATGGCGCAACCACGCGACCTCGCTGGCAGGTCGCCAGTGCATCGGGGAGGAGTGCCTCATGACTTCGGAAGACGTCGCCTTAGTTTTCGACGACATTCACTCAGAGGGACCACGGAAGGACGCCATGGGTGAAACCATTGTTTGTTGGGTATTTACAAGGGAATCGAATCAGAGACCCGGGTTTCTTAGGTGGCGCGAAATAGTTTTCCTCCAGTATGATCTTGCGCAGGGTCAGGCATGCTTGTTTGAATCAACCCCCAGTCCCCCATTCAAATTGATTCAATGTCAATGCGCAAGATCCTTATGCTAGATGGCAGTGGTTCCCATTGTGGCATTCTTCCCTGGCTTATGGATTGGGACTGGGACCCATTTGGAAAAATCTAGGTGAAAGGGACACCACAAGGAGGCTTGAAGAAAACGAAAGTGGTTTCAACCAGGAGTCGTTTGTTACTGGTCCCTTTCTTTGGTGGATATGGTCGACCTGAGTTCAAGAGGTGATGAAAAGGGAAGCCCAGGCTGGTTCATGCAAATTGAGGCAAGGGCCCTTCGCAGACTTCATTTGTGCCACTTCCTCAATGCTAATTTGTAGCAGGCTTATTAGGGACTGTTCCACCCGAAATAGGCGCTTGTGCCCTCACTTCTTTCATGCTGTTGGACTCCTTCAACGGCAGGTTTTGATTATGACTCCCATGCTCAAACGCATCCATGGAGTCCTTTGGAGGTGGACGCTATCCGCGGGGTGGGAAGCATGACACCAGTCCAAAGACCCCTTTACTTGGGTAGGCAAGGTCATCAACCTCAGGGTTTTAGACAACACTTCATAGGAACCACCTTACTGGGAGGGATCATATCCCATTTTGGACAGATTTGCCTCGTCAGGCAACCCGCGCCTGCCACGATTTTGGCACACGTAGACCACACATGGCCCGTCTGAGGTGGTGAAGTATGCCCTGATGGCAGCCTTCACCGGCTGCTCCGTGCTCAGCCGTTAGCGAACCAAAAAGCGTGAACTGTGAACTAGGCGAAAAAGACGGAGCCATACTTTTCATTACGGGCAAGCCGGCCCCGGCACAGTGTTTTTGACAATTCAGACAGACCAAGCATGCGCAAAAAAAACACAAGCAATCGGCAAAAAGTGACAGCTCAAGATCACAAAAGAAGCCGACCTATAGGCGTCCTCTTAGGTCAGTCTGCTTTGAAATAGATGGCGCTGGTTTAGATTGGTTCTATTCCTTTTGCCACACCAATATGCAGACCCTCCTGTTGCTTGAATGCTACACCCTGCCTTTACCGCATGTCCGAGGCTTCGCAGGGCTCGTGGGTATTGGAGGCTGGACCTCGCGTTTCCCCTTAAAGGGTGCTTTGAACATCACCCTTTGGTCCCGTTTGAAGCGAGTTTCCTTTGATTGTAAGGGGAAATGCAGGGACTCGAGGGGGAACACCACCACACCAGCGAGCCCTTCTTTGCCGGCTAACGCTGTGACGGCTACGAGTGGCACTCAAAACCGCTGAAGGGCTGAGGGGTAGAGTCCCAAGCAGAAGGGCGGCTCTCCGGCCGTTTGATTCTTTTGGGTAGACTTTGTCAATATCCGGTTCTGATTGTGACTCAAGTGGATGTGTCCTAAAGAGGGGGGTTTCTCCTTTTGGTTCTGCGTGAAAAATCAAGTGACCCCAAACCGTGGTCAAAAGAATTAGAACATATCGCCAGACGGGAATCCACGCAGGTAACATGAAAGTAGCCATGGTACATAATTCCCTGAAATGACCAGGGTCGCAATTGAATGTTTTGCACTCCCATGGCTTCACACTGGGCTAAAGCGTTAACCGTAGGTGGTCGCTTGTCTTGACTCTTAATAAGTATCCACTTGGGCCACCATTTTGGCTCAAGTGGACCTTTTGATCTTTGGTCGTGTGATTTGAAATCTTTCTTTCCCCTCTCTCAAAGCCATGTATGCCCCCGCCTACGCTGGTGCCGCGGTAGCAGAGGCTAAGGGCCTCCATGGCAAAGTACCTGGCGAGCCTCGTGAAGAGGGAGGAAGAAGGATGGACCGTTTTGGCTGCCGAGGTCCCTCAGGCACCTGACGAGCGTTTCTTCTCCAGCGCAGATGAGTTGGAGCAGACCCCTCTCATCCCGGCCAAGCGCAAGGCAGAGGATGAGCCGATGGAAGATGCAGCCCCTGGGGTGGCGCAGGTGCCGAAGGCCCTGACACGCCCCCAGGGGCGTTCCTGGAGCTCCTGAACCCGCCGGAGGAGGACGTGCCCATGGAGGAGCTCCGGGCGCAGGACGAGAAGGAGCTGCCGATGCCCAGGTCCCCCTCGGCTGCAGCCCGCTTGGAGGAGACCCGCCTGGATGCCCGGGCAGACGCCAAGTGGCAGAGGCGCCGGGAGCTGATGGCGAAGGTCAAGGAGCAGGCGTCCTCGGAGGAGGATGAGAACCCCGCAGCCCCCCCGCCGGGGGGGAGCGTGTTCACCAAGGCCCTCAAGGTCTCGGAGGGCCTCTACCAGTTCAGCGACGACCAGATGGCGGGCAACTTCCCTTGCTTCGATGCGACCACGGCCAATAGGCTCCGCCGACTGCAGGCCAGGGACGTCCAGCGGCTCCTGCGAGGCTTTGAGGGCCCCCAACTCAAGCAGGGGGGCCTGGAGCGCGTTGTGGAGGCCTTCTACATCGCCAAGATGAAGTACGAGCATGAGGCCCGGCTCAGCACCCCGGGACAGCAGGTGGGCAAGCGCGCTGGCTTGGGGTACGGGGGCCTGGAGAACCGCCCCCTGGGCAAGGTGCCCACATCCTGGATCTGCCCCTGCTGCACCATGCCCTGGGTGAAGAAGGGCGCCACGAAGTGCATGGGGTGCGGCAAGAAGACGGAGCCCATTGACATGGCGACCAACTCGGCCACCCTGGAGATTGCAGGCACGCATTGGCAGTTGACGGTGGATGACCAGGGCAATGCGGTCTGGACGGCGGCCCGGTCCGCAGGTGCCGAAGGCCCTGACACGGACCGGGCCCGCGACCTCAAGCTCAGTGCCTCGGTGGACGTCAGCGAGCTGGCCACCGACCCGATGGCCTGCGAGAACCCGGACCAGGCCAGCTTCTCGGACTTCGTCCCCTCCTCGGTCCGGGCGGTGATCAGGAACTGCCCCATGGAGCTGGACGAGGAGTTTCTGACGGCCCCACCGGGGGAGAGGCCCCCATTGCCAGGCGACAAGGAAGAGGGCCAGGAATGCAGAGCCTTCCACCCGTCTGCGGTGAAGGCCTTCAAGATTCAGACCCGGCTCAACGCCACCACCATCGCCCAGGAGGAGGCCAAGAAGGCGGACCAGGTGGAAGCGGTGGAGCGCTCCGCGGCGGTCCTCCACGAACTTCAAGGGGGGGCCATTGACGGAGGAGGTGATGGAGGCCTGCTCCTGAAGAACCTGGACTTGGACCTCTTCCGTGAGAAGCTGCTGGACAAGCTGGGTGCGGACTGGGGGAGACCCACACCGGAGCTCCTCCAGGCCCAGACCACTGCGGAGGAGGCGAAAGCGAAACACCAAGCCAGACAGGCGAAGGGCTCCCTCGAAACCAGGATGCTAGCGCCCATCGCGCCTCCCTTCAGTGCGTGGCCCAGTGAGGTCCGGGTCGCCATTGAGACTGGGGTCTTCGAGCCGACAACGGCATGGAGGGACTTCAGTATGGACGACCTCACATCGCTGGTAGGAATCCCTTCCCGGCGGCCCTCCTGTCAGATCTGCCGGACCTGGCAGGGATCCCTATGCCAAAGGCGGTGCGGCGCGCCCAGGTGCCGAGGGCCCTGACAGGCCGCCCACCATCTCCTCAGCCTCGGGCTCTGGCGTGACGAGCTCAGGTGCCGAGGGCCCTGACAAGCCGTCCGCCACCCCGGTGGGCCTGGACACCAAGGACCCGGAGGTGCAGCTCGCGGTCCTGCGCTGGATGATGAGCAAACGGGTCGGAGAGGTCCGTATCTTTGCGGGCCGCTGGGTCCGACGACCGGGCCCGGTACACGTCCCGGATTGGGCGGAAAACCTCACCAAGGTGAATCCGGAGGCGTTGGAGAAGGGTACGCATCCCAGGAACCACCAGGTGGGTGGACTCCCCTGGGCCAGGTACTCCGTGGATGAGTTGAACCAGCAGGCGAAGGCGGGGGACCGACCCTACCCTGGGGACCTGCGATCCATCTTTTGGGCTGCCCCCCACGATCCGGATGAGGATTTCCACTGGATTCGCCAGATCTCGTCCTGGACACTCCCAGGCCTACTGGGGATGTTCGGGCACAGCTACACCCTGCGCCAGCTCTGGGGAGTCTGGGAGTCTCTGCCTCTGCTGCAGGGCCCTAGGCAGCGGGGCCCGAGAAACAAGGCCCAGAATCAGACCCGCCTGGAGGGCTGGGAGACCCTGAAGGAGGACGCGCGGTGCTTCCTGAAGGAGGAGGGCCTTCCGTTTCCGCAGACAGGACCGGAGTGGCGATTGGTCTACCGGGCCATGGGCAAGGTCCTCGCGGCCCGGGCCTTCCTCACGGACACCCCGGTGGAGGTGATGCAGCTCCCGGTCCAGGACGTGGCGGACTCCAAGGAGCAGATGATCCTGCGGGCGGTATGCGACGAGCGCATCTCGGTCCCGGTGGAGAGCCTCCAGCAGTTCCCAGAGGTGTACAAGGCCCTCATGGACCGCATTGGAGGCCCGGGGGCCCTGGCGGAGGTGAAGGTCAACTGGCGCTGCAACACGAAGCAGTGGTGGGTCGGCGCAGTCCCCGACTCAGTGGCCCCCTCCATCTACCGCAAGCTCGGCTACACCAACGACATGATCAAGCTGATGGGCCTGGACCCCTCCGCCCCTGGGTGCCGGACAGGTGCCGATGGCCCTGACATCCGCCCCAGGGGAGGCGAGGGCGATGAGGGGATCGTTTACCCCCCCATCACGGCGGACAACGTCCACGGCGTAGTGGGTAAGGTCTACCGGAAGAAGAACTATCCGGTGGAGATGAAGCATGTCTTCTGGGCGCACATGGAGTGTGGCCTGGTCCTGAGCTCCGTCACCCCGTGGGAACTCATCCCGAAGACGAAAGGGGAGACCCGGGGGGGCTACATGTGCAAGTATTGCAAGGGGTACTGGCGTGCCGGGGGAGGGGGCACCCGCCTCCTCCAGATCCGGGCCGGCAAGGCCATCTTGCAGCTGGTGTTGGACGAGCCGCCGGAGGGCCTCTACAACCGCTGGGTGAAGGAGCGGCTGGAGTACTACCGCCGGGTGGAGCCCTCGGCCCCGTTGCGGGACGTCTCCATCGTGGACCAGAAGGTGCCTAGATTCAGATTCAGCCAGGCCACCCAGACAGGCCACGTCTCCAATGCCATCTGGGAGCTGATTCTGCGGAATCCGGAGGCTGCTGCGCTCAAGCGCATAGATGACATCGCGAAGAGGGCCGCGTGATGATGCGGGACAACGCCATCTTCCGGCACATCATCCAGAACCGCGGCCATCCGGAACGGATGCGCAGCGCACCCTGGGGGTGGGACAGCTGCCGAAGGCGCTGATATCCCCCCCCAGGGAACAGCGCAGGCCCAGACCTGCACCAGGCGAGGAAAATTGGCGCGGCTTGGGCTAATCCGGGGTGCGCCTGGTTCCCCTCTCTTGTTTGGTTTTCCCTTTTCGGGGCGGCTCCCTGGGTCCCCCTTTTTCCCCCGTTCCCTCCGTTTCGGGGTTGACTTTCCGGGGTTTTGGGGGGCCCCTGTTGTTTGGTTGGGTCGAGTGGATCATGATGATGTGGAGGCCCCGCCTCCCTTCCCCGTTTGGGACGACCTTCCTAGGGGCGCCAACCGCGCTCCAGTTGATTTTGCATGACCTGGGATTTGCACCAGTGCAGTCGGACGGGGAAATCCTCGTGGCGTGCTGCCTGGAATGGGTCAAGAAGGACAAGGTCGCCAACCCGGATGCGGTGGTCTTTGACCCGCGGCCGTGGACACGGATCGTGGGGCTGGCACCTGACGGCAACCACGTCCTGGTGGCCTCGGACACCTACAACTTGATCCTCGCGAGGATGCTCGGCTCCCAACCACAACCGCTGGAGGAGGCGGATTTGGAGCTCGCTACTAAGACCCTGCAACAACTTCTGTTTCGTGCGGCAGGCGCCAGGCAATCGCACACCTATTCTCCACTGGAAATGGAACAGGCCATCCGGGACCGCGAAGAGTGGATCCTTTCCGGATCGATTGAGGCCCCGGATGTCCTGGCAGTGGCCAACAAGTGGCGGCATTGGAAACCAGGGAAGATCAAAACCCAATTGCCGACATCTCAGAGAGCGTTGGAACAACACTTGAGGGCCAGGTGGTTGGAACGCC